CCCCAAAACCCCAAAACCCCAAAACCCCTTCTTGAAACATCTTAATTGAGAAAAGTAATTAGAAAATTTAGAAAGATTTTATAAGATGGATCTAAGGTAAGTCCACAATTATCTGAAGGTTGGAGGTCAGGAAATAGCTCTTATTGCCCATACAAAGATGACTGTGATATTAAATAGCTAAATTAAGGCTAATTCCTTCCTTAAGACTGAAAGTGCCTCACCATGGTTATAAATTATCAATGTATACCTGTCTCTGTAGAATAGTTCAAATTCACCGGGAAGATGATCAATTCTTCTTAGGAATCTTTAGTTCAATAGCTTATTTTCATGTATAGGAACCTCTCGAGATCAGGTAAAAATGATAGATCTGGAATTATTAAGCTAGCCCAGAAAGTTAAGTCCAAAATTAGAAGAATTCATAGTAAAAAGTAAGAGCTTATAGATATTTTAGACCTAAGGATAAGCTTTCTGAAAGAAATTTCGAGGAAATTAAATCAGAAACCGACTCTTTGACGACTAAAAGATGGGAAACGCAGCCCTCTAGTTCAGGAAGGGCTAGTTTTGGTATTGTTAGTAGTAATAGAGAAGTAAATCCTCAGAATGCTAAACCAGTCAAAAAGCGAAGGAGGAGAGCTGATAGAGTGCCTAACCAGATCCTCTCCCATAGATTTGTGATAGGTAATTTCTTAATTAATCACACCTTATAGACTTCGAGGATCTTCAAACTCATGAAAATAAGTGAAATGATAGATCCCTTGTTGCTCTAAAAATCCCAAGTGGGCGTAACTCCAATGTTAAACCAACTTTATCAAATTCTCAGCTGGTAGATTTCACGAGTTCATTTGATATTAAGGTAAGCTTACAAAATAGATCATCTTTAGACTAATTCAGAGTTAAGAACTCCAGATCAGCATTGCCAGAAAGGAAGTCTTCCATCGACTTCAACTGTTGGTTCAGGCTTCAAGAGGAAGCACAAGTTGATGACACCAGTGAAAAGGGATCGGAAAGAAATCCCTAAGCTTGCAAACCAGACTGAATCTATTCATTTCACCACTTCTAAGTTATGTCGAGGTAAGACATTTGGCTGATAGCTTTGATGTCACATGAAGTTGGCCCTAGCAAGTCTGTAGGATGCCTAGCTCTGACCTAGGCTCCTTAGTCATGGCATTCAGTCGAGGTTAACAGAAATTTATCAAAATGGGTTAAATATTTTTCTTTTATTTATGCGGTCAACTTCTAGTAATTCCCGCTAAGTTTACTAAGAAAATGACTAGATCTTAGATGAGAATTTAAATAATCTTTTATAGATCATACCATTCCACTTTCTGGAAGGAAGAATATTTGAATAAAAACGAATTTGGAAGAAGATGCTGCTCAAAGTGGAAATCAACGAAAGCCACAAGCAAAGAGCTTCGTCTCCCAGCCATTAACTGCCAAGAAAAAGCCTGTTGTGCACAGTATTCTCAAGAAGTTCACCCCAATAAAACCTCAGGAGAAGATAGGGACTAGTTTTGTGAAGACTCCTAGACAAGAGATAACTTCTTCGACTCTCTTGTCTGAGAGAAAGAAAAAGATATTTAGTAAGCAAAGAAGTTCAGAAGAGTCCTCGAGTAGGATAAAGTCCAAGCTTGGTGCTTTGTTCAAGAAATATGGCAATCCTTCTCATAATCACTCTAAATTTCTATAAGGTTGGTCCTTTTTCTAGAAGTTGTTAAATTTTCAACAATGTAGATATTGAAAGGGGTTTTGGGGTTTTGGGGTTTTGGGGTTTTGGGGTTTTGGGG